CCCCCCCCTTGTTACCTTTTCACTACTCCTTCAGGAGGAAGGGCGAAGCCACACCTTTAAAAGTAATAACAATACAATACGTAATGTAAAACTTTTGTCTCCTTGAAGAACCGGACATCGTGTTAGGGAATCATTTAGACCTCAGCCCCTCGAGGAAACGGCAAGGCGTCATCAGACGGGGCGGTGGAGTATACGTCATCAGGAGGCAGCGGTGAACCTGCGAAGTGCTGGCGGGCGGCGGGCGGCGCGAGGGAAGTTCTCTTCGCTGCTTGCGCGCAGAGCGGCCTGGTCTGGTTGCTATGGAGACAGCCGCGGTGCTGCGCGTGAAGAGGAAGCGAGGAGGCCCATTGCCGGCCGAAGCGCTGGTACTGGCCTGCAAGCGCCTCCGCACCGAGCCTGGGGCTGCCGCCGCATCCTCCTCCTCCCCCGGCGAGGGTGAGGTGGAGAAGACTCTCTTCAAGCTGGTGGCCACCGTAAACTCGGAGGTGAGGCCAGAGAGGCGGGGCCTTTCGTCATTGCCTCTCGTGCTTTGCCTGGGCAACGTTAGTAAGGAGATTTAACCATTAAAATTATTACTCCAATATCAGTGTTTCCCAACCTTGGGATGTTTAAGACGTGCGGACTTCGACTCCCAGAATCCCCCAGCCCTCATGGCTAGCTGGGGAATTCTGGGAGTTGAAGTCCACACGTCTTAAACATGCCAAGGTTGGGAAATACTGCTCTAAATAATGTGGTGGCCTAGGAGAGATTTTTCCTCCTTTCCTTGTGAAGTATCTTCACCACCACCCCTTTTTTGTGTGATAAAAGAGGATAAACCAGGGTAGTGGTCAATATGGACCCCTAAGAGTTATTATTGTTATTACTTGTAGTACTATTAGTTAAAGTATTCATTAAATTGTTTTCATATAATAAATGTTTGGGAGTCAATGAACAATCTGAAACTTCATGAAGAGATTGATGACCTGAAGAATTTGGAAACCCCTGGGATAAACCAAGCAGTGGTTGCAATGCTGGGCATAGGAAAGGGAGGGTGTGATTGCCCTCCCATTCTCTATCTGGGTCTTTGCTAAGTGTTGGTTTTGTACAAGGCTGGACCAAATCAGCCTGTGGCCTGCCCCATTTTTCCTTGAGTTCATTATGTTGGATTGCATTTGAACATCTGCTTTGTTTTAGGACAGAAGTGGAAAGTAGGTAGGGTGTGCCAAATATATTGCAGGCTATTGAGCCCCAGAACATTCTCAGCAACCCGCAGGGATCTGACTCTGAATGCTTGCTCCATCCCAAACACACCCATTTTGCACACCCCAGAATAAAGAGTCAAGATTTAATACCATTTTTATGTTGAATAGATAAGGTTCTTTTTCACTGGAAAACCCTAAAGGAGAGAGAAAGAGAGAGTTTATTTGTGCCTTTGAGTCAGTGTTGATTCCTGGCCACTGCCGGGATAAGTTCCTCCAGTTTTATTGGCAAAATTTTTTGGAAGTGGTTTGTCATTGATTTCTTCCTAGACTGAGAGAGAGAGACTGGCTTTGTGCCTAAGGCAGGATGATAACTTGTAGTCTCCCAATTTCTACTTTGATGCCTTTAACCAAACAGGCTCTCTAAAATAATATCATAAAATTATTTATTTTTTAACAAGATTTATAAGGCTGCTGAACTCAAACAGCATGACTCTGGGCAGTGCACAGCATACAACAACAACACAAACCACCAAAGGCCAAACCATATAGCATTAAAGGTGCTAACTGAACTTCTTTAAAACATCTTTAGGCTGAACCTGTTCACAAATACATACAAGAAGCTTTTACCCAAGAGAAAGGAGGCCGGATCCTGCGACCTGCTCTAGGAAGCGCTCAAAGAGTAATTCAGGATCTTCGTTCTTCGAAGCAGGCTAAAAGGCAAGAAAGCCGCTACCGCCTGATCACTAGCCTCCGTCCAAATCTCAGTGATGGAAAAAATGCAGTTCTTGGTGCAAATGAGAAAGAATCCGATGAAAACAGCCAGGTTTCTAAGTCTGAGAAAGAAAGAAATGATGGCACCTCAGGCTGCTGGAGAGACTGTCAGGTTTTTGATATGGTACAGGAGGAGGATGTGGAAAATGATACACCTGCTTCCCATTTAAAGGTTAGTACTAAGTCCTAGGCAGTCAGAAGTCTGTATTAAAATGGGATAAGCCAGTGATGCAAAGATGGCGACAGGATCCCAACTACAAGCTGACTGATAATGTATCGTAGGTTTAGAATAATGCTTTTCACCAGGACCTTTCACTCCTATATAGTCTATCGCACAATCTTAGATTGTTGATGAAATTCATTTGTGAGTCCTGCTGTGAATGGGTTGGACATCTATGGTCACATCTGTTTTCATGGCAGGACTTGTATTGAGGAATAAATTGCCATTGGAGTTGAAGCAAGTTCCCTCATTATGGTTCAGGATGGGGCTCAAAATATACTTCCTCACCCAGTCCTTCTAATGGTTTTCATTGCATTAATATTTTAATTGTATTTTGAAGAAAAAGAGAATCTTTAAAAAATAATTAAATGATTTAAATAGAAATTATTTTAATTGCAGAAGTTTAAAGTATAGTATAAAATATTTAAGTAGCAATTAGCAGTTGGGCAAAAAAGAAAGGAAAAGGGGGGCTACTTGAATATTTTTCCCTTGTAGACACAATTTTTTGTTCTATTTTGTCTTTTCTATCGCTATATCAAATCTCGTCCTTAGAATTTTTACTTGAACCCTCACCTCAGTGTAAAGCTTATATAACAGCAATAATAATATTGTAAATAACAATATATATGAGTTAGGGATTCCATTGTTATGTATGTATTTATATGTATCTATTGTATTCCTGTCTCCTTTTTTCCTGTTTGTTTTATGGGGTTTCTTGTTACTTGTTACTTGTTAAAATTATTTTAATGTTTTAATAATATTTTAAGCCATGCTTTAATTGTATTCTATTGTTGTAACTGTGTCTCTATAAGCTGCCCTGAGCCATTATGGGAGTGGACGGTATGCAAATATTTTCAATAAATAATATGGTTTGTTTGGTTTGGGCTTCATTGTGAATCCAGCTAAAATAGCAAGAATAGCACAGAACACAGTGCAGTGTGTGAACCAGCCATTGATTCTGTGGCAACAATCTGTTGCACCTTGAGTTCAGGTAGCCGTGGGCCAGAATAGCTTTCTGTCAGTATGCCACCTTTATGATCTGTGGCATTCCTCTAGCCAGAATGGCCTCTTTTCAGCAACTTAGGAAGAATACAAGCCATAGTTCCACATTATCTAGAGAACATCAACACAGGGAGGATCCAGTTAGAACTCTGTAGTGTTTGCAGGCTCCATTCTGTAGGCACAGCAACCTTAAGGGGAAAGAAGGTATTGTGACATTAATTTAAATACCATCCCCAAACCCTGGTATTTAAGCCTGCTTCTAAACCATAGAGTTTGACCCTAGTATGTCTGGTCATTTGGACACCTTAGGCAATGTTTTTCATTGGTCAGTTACTTGAAATATTACCTGTGTATGCTGTTTTTAAAAGTACATTTTTCAGAGCTTCCGGTGTTATTAAAATATCAAATAAATGAGTGGACACCTGATGGTCCTTAATATTCTGTACTTCTAGCCTTGCACACCACTAAATAATAGCATTCAAATGGAGTGCAGAATTTTTATAAAAACCCTCCTGCAGCTTCTTGGCAAGTTCATATTTGGAGGTGAAAAAATATAAATTACGAGCTCAAAAGATCAAGTAATACAAGAGATACAGCTTTTGGCACCACTTTTTTTTCCCCAACTCTTATGATTACAAATGGTGTCTACATTGACATGAAATCTAAGATTAAAAATGAAGCATCATGTTCTCTTGGGTCCTTTATCAAAATGGGTTTGGCTTAAGATAAAATGGTAACAAATGAATTAATTCTGGAAGACTCACAAGAGCATTTAACTTTGTAACTTTTGTTAAGAGATTCACTTTCTAACAAGAAAGTATCTATTTGCACTGTGTTGTCCAGTTATATTAACAGTGTTTCCATTTAATACTTGCTCGTAAATAAAGAAGGAAAGTAAGAAACAAATATTGTTTATTTTTATTAAGTTACCATTTTTTCCAACTTAGTTCAAAGTTGAGGAACATATTCAATATTTAAATATTTATATCTGCAATTAAACATGAGAAGGCTACCTTGGAGGAAAGGATTTAATAATTTGGAACTCTCATACTAACAGGGTCGATGTTGTTATACACAACAGCATCAGGGTTGGTGTGTGTATACACACACACACTGTATGGAAAATAGGATAACATGATGCAGTATTGTATTAGGCATGTATGCTACCTTGAGTTGACCAAAAATAAAGGCGGAATAAAACTCTAATAATAAATAAGTTCTCATTAAAAAAAAAAAGTTCTGTATTCACTGAAAAAAAAAATGTAAATCTTAACAGAAATCGGATCCGGATGTGATTCTTTGCAATGCTGTAGAGATGATTCGTGAACGTTTAACCGTATCTGACAATAATAAAGAAGCAGAGCATTGCTTAAACAAAGAAGAGTATGTCTATGATATCTACTGTATGGAAACAGCTGCTTCAGGGTGGATTGAGAACATTCTCTCTGTACAACCCTATACCCAAGATTTTGACTTGGTAAGTAAATAAAAAATAGTATCTATAAAACTCATTGAGACTTGTTTCTTTCCTCCTTGTAAAACTTCCTGTATTTCATAACTTAGAATTGATTCTAACCTACAAAATACAGGAGATTCATGTATCTAACTTACAAGCTTAAATTGTATGTTTTTCTCACTCAAATGCCTCTACATTACAGATGCTAATTGCTTTCTACTTATATATAGTTTTTCATTTGGTGAGACTAATCTATTTTACGTGTTTGTAGTGCATTTTTTCTCAGTGATGATGGTATTGGATGTTAAAATGCAGGTGGATGAAGAGCACATCCCTGAGGAAGTATATGAAGATGAAGATGATGAGAATAATGAGAACAACTGGCGTAATGACTACCCAGATGAAGATGAATTTCTTGATGAAGGTGGTATTTGTTATAGCAAGGAACCTGATTGATAGCCATATTGATATATCGATCAATCAAATCTTTATTATGGTCATAGCATTCACATATCAGTTGTTTTTATTGGTTAATTATATACCATATTTTCTCATGGAGCTCAAGACAGCATACGTAGTGCTTCCTCCTTTCAGAAGTGAGCCAGCATGGTATGGTGGGGAAGGTCCTGGACTAGGAATGGGGAGACCCGGGTTCCAGTCCTCCCTTAAGCACAGAATCCAGCTGAGTGACCTTGGGCCAGTCACTCCCTCTGAGCCCTAATCAGCATCAGGCTCTGCGACAGGTTGGCTAAAAAACAAACATTCCTTGTTGCATCGTGCATTGATAGCTTCACTGTGAGAACTAGGCGAGGGCAGTACAAAGACAAGCAGACCTGCTACCCTGCAGGAGAAAGGCTAAGAAGAGAATAAGCCTCGCAAGGCAGATTGTGCTGGAAGATGGTCATTTACATGGCTGGGGGCAGAACTGAACTTGGATTTCAGAGCTTCTAGACTAATATCAGAAGTGGTAATGTATGGCCCCATTTTATCTCAGTGGTGTTTTGCCTGGGGGATAAGCAGGCCATACATCAGCAGGAAAAAGTCTGTGTTTGTCGTTTGCCAAAACATTAGTTTCTGCCTTTAGTCTCTCATTCTATGGAAAAGTCAGAATAATCCCTAAAGTAAATGGAGCAATAATAAACTTAATCTTTAAGATGCCTCAGTATTGTTTTGGGGCAAGCAGAAGGAAGGATTTGAGATACCACGTTAAAGAGATGTCAATGAATAACCAGAGAAGAGACTTCCAAAATCTTTCCAATGAAGTGTCAAATTAATCTTCTGTTTTCTTTCAGACTCAGAGCATGGGGACACCAGCGATGAAGACCGTGGATATATCAAGAGATCATGGGAGAAGTATGAATCTGAAGTCCTGCAGGAGTTTGAATATGATGGACTAAAGGAACTGGATTCTGAATAGCATGCAGGACCTTTTGTATTCATGAGACTCTGCATGTGATGTGGCCTTAGCAATCTGTGGTATTACCACTCTCGCCCATCATGCTGTTTTGCCCTGGCACCTTCATCTTGAGAGAAAGCAGACTGCCTTAGCATATACTGTCTCTAAAATGAAATGATCTAAACTACTTTTGCAGATTTTGGATCTCAAACATGGCATCGTGTAAGAAAAGCCTGAAACTGAAAGACAAATTTAACCATTTTGGGATGCCTGACAGCTCCTTCTGATATTAAAGGCAGAAGTTTCAAGAAGAAATCTAAAAAGATCATCTTTACTACAACATTGGAAATGTTGCTACCTTACTGAAGCAAGCAGTTTGTTCTCTTGCAAAGTAATGTTGGATCACTGCCTCCCTTGTAAACAGATCTGTAGCTTGAAAATAATTGTTCAGATTGGAAATCTCTGCACCTTAATATTCCTGGTTGCCAAGTATATATAGCTGATAAACTTTATACATAAGAGACACTTATTAAGTTATCTTTTTTTTTTTTAGAGTATTGTGATACTTTGATTAAGATATGAGTTATGGCATGTCCCTTTAGGAATTGGCAGTATATATATTAAATTCTCACTTGTCTCTCTTTGCATTGTTTACAAATGAAGTAGTTAAAATACACAGAATTCGAAGTTCACCCAACCTTGTTTTCCCTGTGGAAATTCTGTGAATGTAAAATACCTTTACCAGCTGTCATCATTTAGCTGATACTTTCTCGTCTTCCTTAGCAGTTGATCAAGTTAGCCAGTTAGTTTTGAGTGAAGTGCTTACCCTTCATAGATAAACTTCTCCCATTCTTCCCTTAGTACTGGCACTATAGTACTATAGTACTATAATAGTAGATGGGGAGAGGATGGAAAAATCATAGCACTTGCTTCATTTATCCAGAAGGGGGCAATGCCAACCAGAAAACACTTTCAATTACATAAGGACTTTTAAATATAAACTGCTGTCAGGCACAGTGTATTGACTATCTCCATCCCTTCTAAGAAATGTGGTGTCTGAACCTAGGAAATAGACTACAGGCCTTCCTGCACTCGCATGGTGCCCTCCACCCCACGGCCTCCCTATGGTCATGTGGCAGCACCCCCTCTCCAGGCCTCCCCAACCCCCACTCTCCTTACCTGGGATTCCCGCCACTTTCTGCAGAACGACCCTCGTGTCTTGGGGTTATGGTGGCAACTGGGACTGCTGATTGTCGTCACTAAGCAATGCGGTCACGTGACGTCGTGCTTTACGACCGCATCCCTTAGTAATGGCAATCCCGGTCCCAATTGCCATTGTAAACCAAGGACTACCTTAACTATCATCTTTGCTCCAACTGTTTGACTGGCATTTAGACAGAAGCAAACTAGAGAAGCTGAGAGCTATACCAGTCCCTAGCTGGAAACTGAAAATGATGGCTTTAGCATTAAAGAATTATGGGTCTATACTTTACAAGATCTCTATATGCCTAATAGAATGGTACTTCAGAGCATAACAACTCTTTGCAATTATCAGCTACAGGTGGAGCACTACAGATATTCTACTCTGTCTTTTTCAATCTGAGCTGGCTCTGGGTGACTTCTTGGACACATCTGTGCAATTTTCTTACAGGATTGCTTACATGGAGTGCCTTGCTTAGCTTCTAAACAAGGTCAGAGAGGTACTACCACACACAGAAAATTGTTAGGATTAATGAAACAAGTTTTCCTTCACAAACTGGTTCATATTCTCATTCTTTATTTCCACATGGTGGAACTTTAATTTTACCCTTCAAAGTTCTTGTACATACAGGAACTATAGAACTGGCTGCTGTCACAACTAACTGACCTGGTCAGGAGATAAAGAGTTCAGTCCTCCTATAAAATAAAATGCATTTTAACAGTGGAACGGAGTATAGAAACAATCCAGAGTCAAGTTTAGAAGTTAATGTCACACTGATATACTAAATAACACACATTTTAAGGGTTTATTGGTTACATTTCTATTGCACTGAGACTGAAACCTAATTAAAAAGCACCAAGGTAAATGGATGTAGTACATTTTCAAGACATTTTTGATCTAATGCCATTGATTCAAATAATTTGGTTCATATAAAGACTAAGAGAGGCAAAGCTTCAACATGTATTTTCTGGGTTCTTCATCAATACAATAAATATCACACATTTCTAGGCAGATGATCAGAGTTGATTATAGCTGGATTCAAAATCTGAAAGCAAATCTAACTCTTGACTGAATAAAACAGGAATTAAATGTATAGTTTTGGATATCTTTTTTTTAACTAACAGCAGCCACATAGCTTCCATTTATAACACTATGGACTATGAGCACAGTTATCAATGATTTTTGACAGTTAAGCTCTGGAAATTTACGCACATAAACTAGGCATTTAAAAGTGAGCAAAACTCACAACTGATAGCCTCTTCTCAACTGAAATCTACTGCACGAGCACTCATGCTTTAATTACTTAGCACCTGTCAGTTTAACAGATTGCACGCGAAGCAGCAGCAGCAATGGGGGTGGGGGTTTCATTTCCACCATTTTGTCTCTTTGTAAAGTCTGTGCCTCCAGAAACCATGAAGAGCCACAGAAAGACACAGCATTGAAGAGACAGACTGTTTCTGAGATGTAGAGATAAACAAGATGCGTGATCAGACATGAGGGTGCTTTCCATAATGTGGCCCAGGCAGCCTTTTCTAATACTAATGCGTTTATTGATACTGGTTTGCAGCTGATAGGGCAACAATCTGGTCCTATTGGTGAGAAGATGTTAAGTGGAGAATCAGACACCGAGAAAGTCAAGTGGGCCATGGGACTAAATTGGGTCTGAATTGCTCTTGTTCTTAAGCATTGCCTTGAAAAACTAGTGTTAACAAAGTGAGAAATTGGTATTTGTAACAGAAAATAATATAACAGGTGACAGTTTCTCCCTGTACAACTTTACAGGGATAAGGAAAAAACTTTTTTTCCACTTGCATTATACAAAGTGCATTAAAAAAATCTCTGCATTTTTTCCCCTAAAAATGAACTCAATAATATAAGAAGATCTAAAAAAAAATACTTTGTTATATCCTCGGACTAAGTCCAATTATTACACTACAAAATGATTCTGTATAAAATCCTTAAAATATCTGAGTGCTGAAGCAGCATGAATTTGACTTGTCCAACGCATAGTGTTGGGAAAACGCCAAATGAGCAACCTCAGTGTTCATGTTCAACTGATTAAAAATGTTTGCTTCAAAGCTCTAGACTTAGTATCCTACTGTGCTAGTTCCAATTTGAACTACTCAAAACAAAATACTTCAGTCTAAACCTCTCCTTTGAGCAAAGCAACTGAAGTCAAGGGTATATGAGGAACAGCCTCTGAATATCTTGAGGACAAGCAGGGTGGACAGAGTTAAACTACATCTGAAGGTCAGCAGGCCAATAGCTTCCCTGCCATATTCAAACTTTTGGGTGGAATAGGTGGTCAGAATCATTGGCTCAGGATTAAAAAACAGATTGCTTGGTAGAGTTGATGAAGCTTTCCAGTAAGTTGGAAAAGATTTTTTGGGGGTCACACTGTCTAATTGTCTAAAGTCCATACAATCTCATCTTTGAGCACTTCAATTAAGAACCTTTGATTTTTCTGCTTAGAAACATGGGATGAAAAAGCGTTGTGAATTCATGCCTGAGAATCCTGATGAGTTTTATGCCTTTTACAAAACTAACAGACAAAAGGCAACCAAATTATGTGAGCTGGAAAGAATCCCTGTGTAGTAAGATTGGCAGACGGTAGTGGTATTTCCAGACCATCTTCTCCTGAGCAGCCAGCTGATCTAGTCCTTTCTGCATCTTTAATTAGATTTGGTTTCTATTTTTTCTTCAACAGCATCCATTTCTGTCAGAACACAGTAACAAAGTAACTGAGTGGATCGAGTGACAGCACCTGGAAAAGGAGAAGAACCGAGAATGAACCATGCAATTATGAAATTTTAGTTCAAATTCAAGTTGCTTGCCAAAACAAGAGTGACCAGGGAACCTCTTAGAAAGGAATATGGACCTGTTTTTATGCATCCCCTGCAAATCTAATCTTCCAGTAAGTGGTGGATGCTGTAATTTTCCCTTTAGGAACAACACCTACTCATCTGTTGAGCAGAGATTACAATTGCCAATCATTAACTGCTTGCAAAAAGGCCAGAATTTCTCCGTAATCTACCAACATGAGTTCCCCTGAGATGAACAATATTCCTTCTTCTAAAAAAGCAGGGCTACTGACAGACTTAGACTAAATTTAACAGTGGGCATGATGTTTCCATCTGCACAAAAATCTATGGATCCAACAGAACCCTGTTTCTAGCTTTCTTGTCTTTGCCAAAATGCATGGGATGTGTGCTGAAGATCAAGGCCTAGACTTCCAGTTTAGTCTTTCCAAACAATTTAAATGCAGAGTATCTGTGATGGAATGGAATTATGAAGGCCAGGCTCAGGGAGATAAACATTTTCTTAGCTT